AGTCAACAGCTACAGTCCATCCTCTTCCAAAGCGACCCCCACCATCACTTTATCAAGCCCAACCCCCGGCAACCGGCTGGCCGTGCTTCCAAGGCGGATCCTATACGCCTACCCCATCAGTGGCTCCGCCGGCAGCCGTTGCCCCACCCACCCACCCGTGGCCAGCACATTACCACTTTCCAGCACAACATTCCCCCCCCTTCATCCCACCACAAGCCAGTTCCTCAGACTTGGGTCCACCACCCCCCGTGGTCATGCTCCACCCTTCCACGACAAGGGTGGACACGCAGGGGCGCCCCCTGCCATCGTCTCAACAGAACTATGACCCCGCTACGGACCCGTGGCACGCGGACAACCAGTGATCAAACGGCGGCAGCTTCTGAGGTACCTGTCATGCTCTATCCGTGGATGATTCACACACCAACTACACCATCCCACACGCTTTTCGTGTTTTTCGTATTTGTGTGTGGTTTTGTTACAGCAAGTTGTCACACGCCAACCATCATCTTCGGACACTAGCTCCCCTCAGTCCACAGACCAACACACGCTGTTTCACTTTGCACAACGAAAAACAGTGCGTCTCAGCGGCGGGTCACTCACCAACCTTTTGACTTGGAGTACCACCAGGATCTTTTCCCGGCCTTCAGCAGCATTCAGTTTTTCTCAGCGGTTTTCTTTTTCTTTTACTTTGGTCTTCGACAGGCTAAGTTTTTTGACACTTCTTTGTTCGACTGACGCTGCTTTTTGCTTCAATTGACACTCACAGACGTTATCTCGCATGTTCAGCTTGCTCAAATCAACAATCGGTGCTCCTCGCCTGACGATCCAGTGACACTTTGCCCAGCCACCATGGACGCGCAGTGGCAGCAATACTACTGGAATCATTATTTGATGCAGCAACATCATCAGCAGCTTACCAACCCTGACACCACAACCTCACCTCCCACCACCACTCACCACACCTACAACCCCACTGGCACCTATGGCCCACTCACCCACGCACTCCGTACACACCAAGTCCACCACTCCAATCCGTACGTGACTCCACCATACACACCACCATCGCAGCATACACCGCCACCACAAGCACCAACCTCACAGCCGGAGTTCCCACCTCCACCCCCGCCACCCCTCCCTACGGCCGAACCTGTTACTCCACCACCATCAACCTTCCAACACAGCCCACCGCCACCACCAACCGCCCGTGCCGGCACAGCACCTGCCCCACCACCACCACACATCCCATCCCCCATTCCACCAGTTCCAGACTCTTGGAACCCAACCGACCAACATTGGGACTCCAACACCCTGCACGGCCACCAACTACATCGTACAATCCCACCCAGTGGTCTGGTCCCAACACTGGGTCACCACCTTCGACCCCACCATCCAAGAAGCCGCCAAGGACGTCGTTCGTTTGCTGCAAACGAGCAAAGTCACCACGCAGCAACTCAAAGAAGCAGCCACACGGTATGGCCTACCCCTCAACCGGGTCAACCGGCTCCCAATTCGTAGCTTACAACAGCTCGTGGGTGTTGGAGCAGCCATTGGCTGCTGACTCGCCATCCTTGCCCAGCAGCAACCCAGCCACACCAACCTCACCCAACTTTTCCACTTGCACCGAGCACTCTCCGTGCTCATTCACCACACCCAATACATCGACCGTGCCGAGGCCATCTTTGCCACTGGCCTTATCCACATCACACTCCTTTTCGCATATCCTTCCAACACCCGTCGCTCACAACAATGGCGCAACCGTCTCCGCCAGCTCCACATCTTGCCCCACACATACCACTACCACAACTTCCTCTCCTCAAATTCCGTTTACATCAAGCTCCACTTCAATCCTGACCAGCCCCAACGCTGCTACCATCAACATGGCCACTTCTATGTTGGCTCCACAGCCATTGGCATTCCCCACCGCGAGCACAATCGCCGTGCCAAACTCAAGCAACTCCAGAACAACATCCCCATCTCTGCAGAACTCTCCTTACGTTATTGGCACTCACACAACAACATCCATCACTACACTACCATTCAACTTACCTCCCATGACACATACGACCAAGCCTGGATCCAAGAGCACCACTACATCGCAAACTGGATGCCTACGCTCAACTGGCCTTTTATTTCCCACCACCTCAAGCTCAAAGCTCAAGGCTGGCAGTTCACCAAACACAGAGCCCATTTATACTCCAGATTAGCAACCCACAAACGACTCTTTCGACGCCTTAGGCAACGCCAATACACACTCAGAGAACCACACCTTTACACCTCCACCAAGCATCACGCCCTCCAACTTCTCCGCAACCTTACCAAACACACAGCAGCCTCCTTTGAAGCAGCCAAAGAGCTACGAAGCGGCCGCCACACGGACCTTGAAGTCTATGCAATCCGGCGCATGGCCGCAAACCTTGAAGAACCCGGCCGCAGCAGAGCTCTCCACATCCTCAACAAAGCCCTTCTCTACCGCAACCTCACACCGCCAAAACCAAATATTCCATTGACAGTGCCATTCCTGGCCCACGACGATTTCACCAAGCACTGCCAGCAGTGGCTTCGTACTACCATCCAGCAGCACAAGCGCTTCACCATCCCCCTCCACCTCCCCTCCCACAGACTGCGAGAAGCCGCACACAAAACCCTACGTTCCCACCTGCATAACCACCGCACATGGGAGGACACCCTCCACTCCCCGCCAGATCCAGCAGACCTCCCCTGCGCATGCGATCATCTTCGCACCCACCTGCAGGATCCCGATACCCCCACCATCAACGGCCACTACATTCTTACACTTGATCAACTCCAACTCCCTACACATCTCGGCATTTTTTCTCAACGCCAATATGAACAGCACCTACTACCCAAGCAAGGCTCGATACTTTCTCATCTTCCAGACGGCCTACACGAAATGGCTCAAACTACAAGGGCTTCCGCCATCCCTCGTTCAACATTTGCAACCATTCCTTGAGCACCAATGGCGCCTCCACAACATACACCTCAAGCAGCACCCCCGTTTTACGGCTCGCCTGCTTCGCCAACTCCAAGAACACCTCGGCCAACACACATTACTTCACCATGCCGACCATGAACTACAACAACTCCGGCTGTTCTGCCCTCGCCAATATTTCACTGGCGCCTTGAATACATGGCAATCCCCCGAACTTTTCGAACCACTTCCCTTCATCACTGCCACCAATATTCACGCTCACCTGGCAGCCACTGTTCCTCCCATTCTGCGCACTCGCTACAAGTGGGGCTTCCGCAAAGACTTCAACATTCCTTACGGCGTTGTCCACCTCAAGGAGAAGAAGCACTGGCAAAAAGGCCGTACAATCATCTCATACTTCCAATCACTCAGTGGCAACCTACTTCGCATTACCAGCCGTGCCCTTGACATCATCCTCCAACACCTTTACCCTCAGCATCCCGGCCAAATGTCCATTCCCCAGCTTTGGCACCATTTTCACAGCTACCTCACCCAAACCCCACCAGACATCTCACTACACGCCACCAACGATGACCTGGTCGGTTTCTTCAACTCAGTTCCACAGCACAGACTTATCGATGCGGTTCACTCTCTCGTCCACCACTGGCAACAACAGCAATCCACACACACCCTGACGGTGAATGTCCAGGCCACCGGCAACCCGTTCCACCACTCACACATTGGCAGACACCATCGAAAACACCCTACCCAACGCACCATCCAGACTTCAGACATCACCACCATCGTGGCTTTTGCCCTCAACACATGCATTTTCCGGGCTTGCAACAGTACTTATAAACAAATCCGAGGGGCCGGGATTGGATCCCAGCTCTCTCCAGCCCTATGCAATGTCGCCATCACCCTCATTGAGCATTCCTGGCACCAGATCCACAACAACCTACTTCAACACACAGACCTCCACTTCACTTACTATCGATATGTCGACAACCGCTTCATTGTCCACAACGAACACTTCCTCCAACACCCAGCCATTCAAACCCTCATCCACCACAACTTTTTTGGAGACCCAGTGGAACTCGAACCAGTGGAGGATTTTCATCTCCTCGGTTTCAACATCGACCTCCCACAACGCACCATCACCTACATGCAACCTTCCCAACCCTGGAAAATCATGGATTCCACAACCGCCGGGAGCCAGCGCTTGGCTCTATCAGGCCTCCAATCACGACTCCACACCATTCGCAAATACACATTTCCACCCTCCAGCGCTGAAGCTGCTGCGGCTGAGCTCGTGAGGCTCTATGTCCAAAAAGGACACAACCACCACGCCTGCCACCGGTTTTTAAAAAAAGCGCCGGATGCGGCGACCTGTGTGTGTCCACCCCTGGACAAAGGGTTTTCCACCACCACTCCTTACAGGCAGGGGCGTGTGGCACTCTCGCCCTACCACACGCAACGAAGCTGTGGGCGAGAGTGGGAAGCAGGGCCTGATCAGCCCTGCGTACCTGCCGTTTTATCAAGCTGTGACTCCACTCTTCCTTTGGTTTGCTGTCATGGTGGTTCCATGATACTTCCCCTAAACCCTCCCTTTGCCGCGTTGTCTTGCAGCTGAGCCGCGCCGACCGATCGTTCTGCAGACTTGACCAACCACTTGTTGAAACACCTACAATTGTCTCGGACTTTCCGCCATGCTGTTCCACCGCCTTTCTTCCCAACGTGGTAACTGAGTTCACTGAATACAAGTGTCAGAGTGTGTTTGTGTAACAGCTGCCGGCTGCGGAGTGTAAGCTATGTATAAGAGCTGTGGCGTGTAAATGTCTTGGCAGGTGCTGGTGGATGCGGGTTGTGGGAGGGGCCACGCGGGGTGACAACTAGTGAAGGGAGTCATAGAATTTATACTTCAATGATTTAGTTCCAACCAGGTTGTTCAGCTACCCCTTAGCTTCGAAAAGCAAACTGAAGCTAGCCCTGGTGAGCAGGCTGGATACAACTTTGCACTTTCAAGATCACTGATGCATTTGACATGATCGAAACTATTGAGGCAGGTCACCCATGGCAAGGTGTTGAAGGTGCAGCATTCTGAGTCGCATTGGCGCAGCAACAGCCAACGTCTTTGCACGTATGACATATGATCCGGGGAGGGCATAAAATGGAAAGCATCACATCCTTCCCGATATGCAAACACTCAGGTGGCAGCAACTTGAGTGTGCAGGCGGTGGACAAAAGTGATGAAACCAAAGGAGAATGAGGATGAAGGTCCAGGTAGCATTGCGTAACTCCTGAGCTACCCTTACCAATACAAACAGCACCATATTCAGGGGAGAGGGTTGCATCGGTCGCTGGGTTTGGGGCCACAAGAAAGGGTTCTGTTCAATTCAATAAGGGGGCCCATTCGCAGGTCGATCCATCATCATCCTGATTCATCATTATTCTTTTTCATCCAGGTTCTATTTTCTCTCGTGGTGTTCAATTCTATTCAATTCTGCTCCCTTAATCCCTCTATCAGATTCTGTATCAACTCGTTCGGGTCGTGACAATCTGCGCATGGCATGGCATAGAATCTGTCTATGGCATGAGAAACTCACTAAAGCTGATGAGGCGTATGTGCAAATGCAACTTGCTCGGTCCTCATCCGTCTCCACTGGCGCAAGAGCACCAATGCTCTCTTCCATTCAACCCCTTGTTCACATGCACTGAGCACCTTAGTCCACCATGTAAGGCACCTGTAAACATATACAAGACGTCGCCCCATATCACGGAGCATGAGGCCTTTCTGCAGCAAAGGCTCCGCATTTTGGCTCACAACACCTGATGAATCACAACAAGATTCAACGCTTCCGCACCCATCACTAATACCCCGAGAGCATAAGGCACGCGATGTCGGGCGTACAAATGCTTTGAAATCTTTGCAAGGCTTTGCCGGCCTTGAATCCACGTCTTGGGATTGGGTGCGGTGCAAATCTAGCTAGACTAAGGTCTTCTCTCCAGGCGACTGGGGCGGCAAAAATGTGATATTGATTCAAATAGGGCCAGCGCATCCCACCAATGACCACAGCGCTCTGAGCTGCTTATGGCCTCAGAATGGTTTTTTCAACAAGCACGCTCTGCTTTTCCTCTTCGGCAAACATTCACACAAATCAAGTTTGGCTTGCACGCCATGCTGCAGAATTAAGTCCAAGCAAATCAACCTGCATACCTTTGATGCCGGAGCTGATGTAGTCCAGGCCCAGCTGCCAATGACCAGAACTGATGATACAGTTGCGAGTCAGCTGGTCCTCATATCAGGTACACAAAGTGACCCTTCCAAGGTGTGGTTTGCATTGCATGACATGTGGAGCACTGCTAAAATGGCGAGGGCAGGTCGTCAAAATATGGGCTGACTTGCTGAAAAGGGCTCAAGTTGACATGGGCTGTCAATGCTGACCCAGGAGGACCGTGATTCAATCCAGCCAAGATTCCGCTAGAACCTGCATGTAAGACATACGGTCCACCAGGGCCAATGAAAGGCCCCAGTTGCTCTCTTCAAGGCCCTTGGGGCAAAGTTGCTATAAGCTTTGGACACGCAACCGCAAGTCTTCGATGTGTCGTCTCTGCCGTTGCAACCGGCACGATTACTGCACACCTCCTCTCAACCAAGCTTTCACCATCCGAAGTTTGAGAAGCTCAGAGCGGATGGCAAAGGGATGCCAATTCAATCCAGGCCGCGTTAATGTGAGTGTTGAAGGTCACCACATTTGGCTGCAATTTTTCTGCTGTCACCTGCAAGGGTCAACTCTGTGGTTCTGCGCCTGTATACTGCATGCAGGCTAGACGGAGGGGGTTTGCCCAGGAATATGGAGTTGGGTCATGCTGGAATGATGGCGTGGATGTAATGTGGAAAACATTGTCATCGATGTATATATGGATGTTGTCAACGTTGTATGGATGGATGGACCATTCCTGGATGTCGAAGGCTTAAGTGGCTGCTCGCTCAAGAAAAAATATGTGCGGCGACATCTATCGAAATTCAAGGACCATAGTTTGGGTAGTATAAAACAATACAAAACTACTGTAAGAGTTGCCTGATTAAGTTGCAGACTTTGCTGCGCCTGCCAGTCGCAAGTAAACAAACTCTGACTTTTTTCGTCACCAACTTGCCTTCCAGCCTTCCAAACAACCAAACAACATGTTTAAACACAAAATACAATAATGCACCGCAAAGCAAAAACAATGTCTCCACGACACAAGACACGGCAAGAAAATGATCTCGGGCTAACCCCCTGTCTACCCTACATGCAGCAAAGCCTTAAAAAACAAATAAACCAAAGCAAGATTATGGGAAGGAAGGGAACATGACTTGACATGCACTGGCGCCTCAAGTATCAGGCAACACTCAACGTAAATTTTAAATCCCACCCGACTCAAAAGACTCAAAAAATATGTCAAGCCCACGCCCGGAAGCAACGTCAGGCAACTGTGGTCTCCTATATAGTGCCTGTAGGAGTGTACTCGCCCGAGGCCATAGACCGCCCACCCTTCCACAGGCATTGACTGCAGTGTTGAAGCCTAAGTGTTTCATAAAAGGAGCGTTGTGAAGAAACGCGAGAGCAAAACCGAGCGTGCAAGAGAGTTTGTAATGGCATGCGGCAACAGCCTATTGGGATGATCAAAACTACAGTATCTGCCCCATAAACCCACAGCAACGGTCCAGTCTTCTTCATGTCTATCAAATCATGAATCATCCACGGTCAATCGTCAGGAACATACTGGTTCCCCCCTAAACCTGCAACGCTTGATACTTATTATAATGAGTGTCCCAATGAACTTCAACACGCGAAGTGGCCGGGGTCAGTGATATATCACAACAGTCCCCGAACCTAATTACAGTATCGATTTTAACACTATAACTTGATAAAGAAGAACAGGAGCAACCCCCGTGTAGAGCTCACTTTCATGATAAAAGGTGGGCACAGGGAGGTAGGTAGGCATTGGATCCAAGTGCTTGCCTCACAGGCTGACAACGGCAACACAAACCAAACATATCCAAAAGTATCCTAGGATATCCTAGGGTACTACCTACAAGGGTGTCATAAAACTGTGTCTTGCAAGAGAATGCATGATTCCTCCTTTTGTGACAGGGAGGGCCTGTGTGGCCAGCTTCAATCATGGCTTGTATTTTAAAGGTTTGATGCGGTTCTGCAGGAAGCTCTCACACTCGTTTGTAAATCTCTGGTCCGGCAGCTAGGTTGCTCACAACTGTCAACTGGAGGAACTGCATCGCCATCTCCCGGAGCAGCAAGAGAACCTATCTGACCATGTCTGACCGAACATGAATGCTTGAAAGCTTGTCCAAAAACTAATGGTTTCCTTTCATGTGTCTCCACTTCTCTCTCTGTGCTTGTCTCTCAACAATGATATGGCCGTCAACGCTTGGTCGAAAAGTACGCGCCGATAATTCATTAGTCAAAACCAAGCAATTTGCAGGAGACAGCAATGATTGCCACCGACATGACATGTTATAGATTCTATAAAGGGTGCCTTCCTCGGATTCCCAGGCAACAATTTTGGCGCTGACCTGGTGCCATTGCGAATCAGCAGCACAAGCAGCAGCCCCCATGTTCACCAATTTGTGGCTTCTCCGTATGCCAGCCAATGACGCACTTCGCAACATGTGACACCTCCGCCGGAATATGCAACATCTTCCATCACTCCACTAAAAATAACCATCGATGCAGGTTGTCAACAAACACATTTGTCGCGTCCTCTTGTAACCATGCATCAACAAACTGCTTTAAAGGACGTTGCTATATGTACAATTGCTCGTAGGCTAAGTCAACTCAAGCAACTCCTGGCAAGGGGCACTTTGTGCCAGCTGCCTCTGCAGCAAACATAGCTAGCGGAGTCCGGCTCCAAAGCAACTTGAAACCTCGGAGATATGCCATGCCGCACTGGCTGCAGTTGCCGTTGATTTGTTTGCCGTTTGTAAGGGCAGCCTGATTTCATGAAGCCGACTTCTGCACCTGAATAATGTTCTTCGTTTCCGCCAACGCATTGACAATCTGGCCACCCTCGTACACAACAAGTGCAGGCCCAGGTCAAAGGTCAACGGCTTTGCAAGCAAACTGGCTACCGCACACCTCACTTCTATGTCTCATGTTTGTGCAAGGTACTGCACACACAACACACACGTCACACACACACACATATATATATATATAAGTTTATGTAATATATTGTGTATTGCTTTTTGGGGGGGCGCTGCGCCCGACTCCGCGCGATTCTGTTTGGAAGTGCAGTAGTACGCTGCCAGAAAGCATCTCTGAAAGCTGCTGCAATGCTGCCAGCCACTGGTCGGTCTTTGCAAGGGCACTCATGACAGAGTTAAGGCAAATCCTTGATACTGAGCATGTGCGTGTTTTGCCTGCATGTGTGTCCGCCTGGCAGCATGAATGCAACAAAAAAATCACCGTCCACGGGTTTGTACTCCAACAATTGCACTTTCAGGCATCAAATTGGCCAGCACTTCCTGCATCATCATGGTGCAAAGCATTCTCGAAGCGAGACGCCATTGTTGACCTGCAACGTTAAAGCTAAAGGCAACCGGGACATATTATATACATGGTGGATGCAGCAAAGGATGGGTGGGTCTTTGATAGCCAAGCGGGACGCCTTGCTGCAAAGATGCTGCCGCAGAAGATAACAACACAGCATTGGGCTCCAGAGCTGCTGGCTTGATTTGCTGCAGCAAGTCCATGCTCAGGTGCCATAACATGTCTTTCCCAACAGCAGAAGCGAGAGCCCCATAACCTGACACCAGCAGCATACATCAGCAAATCGTGGTTAATCACTGTCTTAACAAAAATTGTCCATTCGCTGCCGCCCCAGTTCCCTCCCTCGTCCCTCAACCAAACGCCATTTTTGAACATGATATACGAGGGGAACCTCCAGCAAAGCCGGTGGGCGGAAGTTCAACATTCATCAACTCCAGTAATGATCAGTATTGAATGGTGCTGAGGAAAAAACAGTTATATGTATACTGTATACCATGTTATGTTGTCATGTTGATCACTGTGGTGAATTTGTTTGTCGTGACACCCCTGCAAAAGTCCCGCACACGTCGCCTGACAAAAACTACCGTTTTGCAGCCTGACTGCTCTCTTACATACACGCCCACCATCAAGCATGAAACCTTGCTGGGAACTTGCTCCAATGTTGCAGGAGCCTTTTTTGGGCCACCAGTTTGTAATTACTAAACTCAAGGCTCGGGCTGCCACAACCAATCTGTTACTTTGCTTCATGTTTTGGTGGCTTTGTTATGCCCCGCTTTAAGGGTGTGTTTTTCTTTGGGCACTTTGATGTAGCCAAAACAGTTCATCAAAACAGCACAGTGTCAATCTAATCTGTGCCGTTGGGGTGCAAAACTGGGTGAAACAACTGAAAGCACCTCCTTGCATTTTGGGTGATTCAGTGGCAAACACCCTCGAAGTAACGATTCCTGTGACTTCCGGAAAGGCTCCAATGCGAGTCGAGAAAGTTGTGAGTTTCAACTTTAGGTGCCAGAAGTGTCTCAAAGGTTTTGTAGGGTTCTGGCTTCAGCCAGTCTTTCTAAGCAGGCAAGATACCACAAAGGGTCTCGTCAAGCAGTCGTAGCAGCCCAATTTGAAACCAGTTCAATGTGGGCCGTCGAAGGTGTCCCAACAAGGTTCCAAACGGGACTCAACAAAGTTTTGTCAAGGCTCTTCAGGTGGCTTCAAGGCTCCAGTTTCAACAGGTTCAAGAGGGCTACGGCTACGGTGTCGGATATTGAATCAACGGGACCAGCTGGGTTGCTGGAAGATTCCAGTGTTGCATGAAGAAGCTTTGCCGGAATGGTGTATTCAGTCTGGAGGAGGCTCTATGAAACTTTATGCCAATGCAGTTCCACAAAAATTGCAATGCAAAACATCAGAAACCGGTGCAGGACAAGAGCCGCCAAATGCTTTAAGCAACGCTCGAGCAAAGAGTGGGAAAAAAACAACAACAATCTGATTCCCAACATGCTCCACACATCCAACAAAGGTCCCAGCAAGGGTTCGCTGGAAACTCCGGAAGCAAACCTGTAAACCTGCATCTTCAACCCACTTGCACAGCCGCGTCATGGCTTGCACTTGTCAGCCGGCTCTTGTGATCATCTGCCAGGGAGCTGACAATGGTTGGTCGAATGTCACTTTTGCACATCTGCCTGAAGATCTTCCTGGCAAGCAGGCCATCACCTGAACAGTAGGATCAGTCGGTTCAAAACAGGAGAGCCTCGCAGCATGCTGCGGTTCAAGTATGCTGATGCACAGCCTTCCATTGCCCACCCGGATATGACAGTGTTGTAGTGAAACACGTTCACCTGCGCAAGTCTGGCACTGGAAGGACATGTTCAAACTCACATGGTGGCAAGCCTGATTGGAGGGACAAACTAACGTCAAACATCAAACATCTGGTACACATCTCTTACGTGTCTTAACCCTAATCGACCTCCATTCGGGACTCCATGAGGGCTCCAAGCGCTTGGAGGGCAGCACCGGCACCTCATGAAATTCTTGCACACAAAACTCAACTCACTGAATTGATCATGGGGCATTCCGACAAATTCATACTAATTCATACAGCTTGACTTAACATTTCCGCGCATACTATGCATCATGCAATTTCTCTGATAGTCTGAACGTAGTAGGCCTTCTTGCCCCACACACTAAGCCAATAAAGGGCTGTAAAAAAACAGGCTCTTAAGTGATGCACCAATCTGAAGCCTTGGCCCTCGGCCTTCAACGTTTTTGCAGCCCGAGTCCAATGGTCCAAACTCTCGCATGCCCAGCACCTTGTTCCCTCTGCACAGTGCGCAAGGTTGCCGTAGCACATCGTGAGCTTTGCGTCATGGGATCTGCAAAGTCCGCAAGCATTAGTTGCAAAAGCCCGTATTTTCAGATGTGTATTCACTGTTTATTTGTGTGCTAAACCAGTTCCGCTGCCCAAGGTTTGCTAGCAAGGTTGGTGCTAAGAAAAGCACAAGCAATATACAATATATACATATGTGAGTGTACATATAAAATATATATAAATACACCTATCTAACATACACTGTATAAACTAAGAATCAACCGACTGATATTAGCAAAAAGCACTTGCACCGCACCCACATAAGATTGATAATGTCATTGGCCCTTTGGGGCTACCATTCTGGGGTTGACACTCTTTATCCTGGCCCGGCCTAAGCACGTCTCTTCTAAGGTTTGATTGCGCATTCTTCTTCATGGTTCGCATGGTGGAATCGTTCTTCTTAGTAGAGTTTGAAGATGTTTTGCAGGAGACAGTTCCTGTAGCATCTGGGCCCGAAATGTCGCAGTCGAAGCTAGTTCCAGTTGTTCGCAGGCCTGCACTGAGCCTGCAGGCCTGTTTGGAATATGTGGATGAGGTTAGAAGGGAGCACCCTGCCCCTCTTTACGATATGGTGGAGGTGTTTGGCGCTGGCTCGATGGCCCACGGCTGCAGGCGCTTTGAGCTGCGATCGGCAGCTCTGGATGTTCGAATCTTTGATCCAAGTAGTTTGTTTATGCGAGGTAACATAAAAATAAACGTCGAACCAACCAGCTTTAATGTTGAACCAACCAGCTTTAACAAAGACCAGGACTTGGGGATGATAACAACATCCACTTGGAGAAAGGGCTGAGAAAGGCTTTGAAGAATTTGGCCCTGTGTGGCGGGTGTGCTGTGTTGATGCCCACGTGCGGAAGTTGGGTGTGGCTGAGCAGGGGAAGCACGCTTAGAGGGCTTGTTGCCTGTCCATGCAAAGTAATGGTTACTAGGTGTTTGCTGGATTTTGAGTGAATTAGTGTTTTTTGAGATGTTTTGAGTGCAGTTTATTGAGAGGTGTTGAGACGTTTTGGGGGAATTTTAGAGAATTTGCTTAGTTTGGGCAATGCTGTCAATCAATGCGATCCATACGCTCACAGCCTAGGTGCTGACGGGGTATGGCCATTGCAAGAGCGTTGTCACTGGAAACGCGCAAGCTGAAGTGGTAGCTTTGCTCCTGGAGGTGTGCGCGCACTTGGGCTTGCAGTGGCTCATTGAGCAACCGCCGAGTTCTTTGCTGTTCCAGTGGCCCTCGTTGCTTCGCTTTTTTTATGGATGGAAATGTCTTCAGCATCCACATTGACTTGGCGCACTTTGGGTGTGTTTGCTCAAAGCCCCTCCTTTTGAGGGGTACGTGGGATGCTCTTCCGTTCATCAAGTGTTTAGAAGCAGCTTTGGAGCCCTATGTTCCCCCGAGAGAGGAGAAGCCCAAGGGATCCAAGCCCAGTGGAAGGCCCATGTTAACACTAATATAATGTACTATTTATATACTTTAGATATTGTATTTGATCAAGTTGTAATGTTGAATCCCGTATCCTGTGTTTGGGTTTCAAGCCCAAAGACATTGTGGGAGTATTGAATTTCTGGGCAGGTGGGTGACTGCAAGCCAGTACACATCATACAGTGCCATCTATCCCAAAGCCTTTTCATCAGCGTTTGCCTGCGCGATGATGATGCACCGAGACCATCTGACAGATGCTGATACCATTTCACGGGTGGCCACTGATTATGCCAAGATGTTTTTTGACGAGATTCCTTCCATTGAAGTGGCCAAAGCGGAAGCAAATGCAGCTATTGAATCCAATTCTTTTTGTTTGCAGGCTTTTGTCTTGTGGTTTGATGAACTTGTTTACCCCTTTAGCCTTCAGCCTTCAAACAACAATCCCTATGCCATCGAGTAAAGAATCTGTAAAACTGTGCGCCAATGTACGTTTCATTCTAGTTTGTTTGGTGTTGAGTTGGACCCAAGGAAAAGCTGAAACAACAGGGGCTCAAATCCTTTGACGAAGACCCGGGATGGCCTGATATTGACCAGCAGCTTGCGCCCAAGATTCCCAGAGAGGAGCAACGGCTCTTGCTGAAGCAGAACCGCGAGAATAGGCTGAAAGCCAAGGCAAAGCCAAAGGCACTGCCCAAACGCAGTGCCAAGTGCAAGGCTAAGGCGAGAGCATACAGCGCATACAGACCTTCAAGTTCGCTGAAGAAATTCTTTCCGTCCAGGAGAGGGGCGATTGACACAACCTTTTGACGTGACAGAAGCGACGCGTGACATGATGTCTAATTTTGAGTTATTGGTCTGTTCATCGTTCACAAAGGTTGCTGGCAAGTGAGGTGAGCCAGAACTTGACATAGCTTGTCCACTTCAATTCTGTGGTCTTTGCGGGTCATGTCAGGAATAACACACCTTCTACCTGGAGGGCCATTGATGCGTACCTACATCATCCGGAGTCCTCTTCCTCCTCGGTCTTCCAGGCAGGCGAAGTCCAAGTGAATCGACTACGTAAAAGTCCGGTGAGAAAACCTTTTTGCTGAGCTTGTGCGGCCCCGCTTACTGACTGAACAGCAAGGGATGAGAGAAAGAGCTTTTCCTATCTAATTAGATGGATATTCCTATGAATTGCAATTGTAAAGTGGCTACTGGATTAGTATGCCTGGCCCTAAAACACAAGCCCTTTGCCTGGACTTGCGCAGGGGCTGAGCGCAGGCCACTTGGTCATTGACCTGGTGGAGGACAAACAGTCAGTTGAAATTCTCGGGTGATCTGTTGAAGAGGCATTTGTTGGTGCATTGCTTTTGGAAGCAACGGGAAAACATACTATGTATACTATATAATATAGATTCTATTGATACTATGGTTTTGCAGGAGTATTACAAATTTGTTTGCTTCAAGCTATCCCCACCCCAAAGGCCCACTGGATCTCGGGCGTGTTTGTGATTGCATCACTGGTGGGATATCTGGGACCACTGGGTCAGCCCCTGTCACAAATCCACAGGAAGGACACATTGGACAAAGGCTTACTAAAAGCTAGCTGAGCCTAGCTACTTTGAGTCAGTCTTGGGGCAAATCTCGTTTTGCACTTGATTGTCGAACTTCGTTAAACTGGTAGGACAGCTGAGCTCTGCCTGGCATTTGGACGGATACGCTACGCTTTTGGAGCCTTGTTACGGGCGGATGTGGATATTTGGTGGCTGACCTTTCCCGATTGATCGTTCGACTAGTATTTCTGGCGATAATCAGGTGACAACCAACCCGGCGTTGTCACATTGTTGGGGCGTCCAGGTGCAAATGCCACACGAATATTGTTACGTTATGTTTGAAACAGCATGGAGGTGCCAAAACAAATCAAAATGTTGGTAAATCCACTGGCGGCTTCAGCAAAACAAAAGACTTCAGCAAAACAAATGAGAACGCTTAGTCCAGTGGGCGCAGCACTACCAGGACGAAAGAAGCGGCGATCCTAGGGGTCCAGTCATGGGCCTGGCAGTGGTTCAATAGCCTTTCAGAAATTCAAAGAAAGGCAATAACCGAGTCTGACTGTGTGGTTCAGGCGCAGGTTGAGCGATCCGCAAAGCGGGTCAAATTGAACAAGTGAAAGCGTTGTTGTAGCAGTGTTGATGCCCACGATGGCGAGTTGGGGCTTCTTCATGGCCTTTGATTTGTGCCATGAATGATTTGGGGTACAGGTTGCGAATGCAATCCAATAGCAAACTCACGAGATCAAGTTTGAGCGAGAAAATGGACAAGCGAGGTTTGCAGTTGGTGTTGCTGCCTTTTTTTTTGGGGTGAGAAAATAAAGAATCCTACTCGGTTTCATGAATCAAAACAACGCAGGAAGTGCAAGCTCTCAATGGGCTTGAATTGATTCAGTCAACTTAGGAAACAAATCTGTAGATTTTACATCAATAATTTCAAAGAATTGAGCGAGCTCCTCGGAATGGGGAACTTTGGATTAGATCTCTTGTGAACTCATCAAATTCAACCTCCGTTAGCGGCAAGAAGTCTAAACTCCAAACATTCAAATTAACAAAAAGCACTAGATCACGGCCAATGAAGTCAATTCAATCTCATTTGTTAAGTCAGTGAGTTTGAGCTTCACTTTCCAATGCCAGTCTGATAGTCTAACATGATAGCGTCGGTCCAAGACATGCACTTGGAGACGGGCCTCCATGTCCAGAAACCAGATGCTACATTCCAAGTATGGCTGAAAGAGACATCTGCCCTCCTGCTGACCAATCAGCTTTCCACTTTCAGTTGCAGTGGTGATTTGTCCACATACATACATCCTACACTGCCCCAGCACGTAGCGCTAGAAGACCATAGGAGGTAATGTGTCTGCTGAGCATTGGCTGAACATGTCTTCTCAACATAGGCTTGACAAGCACAAATGGCTCAACAGGACACTGGACGCTCGTGGGATGTCTCGACCAATAGTGCTGCATAATTTTGTGGCAACATTTTACTCCAAAGCTCAGTTAATTCAAACGCTTGCCCAATAGACCCTGCAGCAAGACCAGCAGAAATGCTTGAAGAGATTCTGGAGCTGGCCAGGTCCCATATCAAATCATGAATGCCGAATGCGAAAAGTGCAGCCATGCGACTGGATTTGCCGTCTGAGGACTGCATGGCATGGTTCTGTTTAAGTCCCCCTTGAAACAAACAGAAGGCATCAGCTGGCCTCTCAATTGGTTGGCACCTTCTCCTGCAGGCAGCATCATAGAGCGTGATTGAAACGCATAGTAGCATACATCAGCGGCAAAGCCGGGACCGCTTGCAGTCGAACTTCCCTTAGGATGTACTCTGCTTGTGGTGCTGACTGCCTCTGTGCATCATGTCTATCCGCCTTCTTCACACTTTATGGTGGTGCCTGTTGCAGCTACTAGCAGTGTTCATAGCAGTGCTGTTTGTGGAATTATAAGCTGGACCAAGACTGGATGGCTACCCTGGACCCCCTGTCTCTCTTACCCTCTTTTGTTTCTCTCTCTCTCTCTCTCGCTGTGCCACTCTCTGCCAATCTACGTTAGCCTCTTTAGCGAAACAAAAACGGTATCATTGGATACCATTAATTTATTATATTAAACGGATAAGACACTGTGGCACTTTGAGTGCCGTGCAGTCGCCCACGGCTGACAGTGGTTCAGGCCTTGCTGTGCATCCGCGTTCAAACTGGTTGAGGTGGGGGGGGAGTCCATGTGCGGAGACTTCAAGAATAGCTCCAATCCCTACAGACACAACCTTTTCATTATACAATCGGAGCCACCGCGAAACCCGACCTAGTGGTAATTAATGGTAATTAAAAGCTTGCAGGCAAGGCCCAGGTCTTGCCAAAGGCTGTGCTCCGTCTTTTAGTCCGTCTTTTAGTGAGTGGCATTGGGATGCATTGGATGGGAAAGCCAAAGAATGCACGGCCAAAAGCTAGAGAAACAAGACCTGCCTTGAGGCTGGAGCTTGAAGGAGCCCAAAATCACTGCAAAACCAAACAACCATTTGCAGGAAGGACAAAGACATGTCAACTTCAATAGGATTCAATAACAAAATCATTGCAAGTAGCAAAAGAATGCAAAAGAAGCAAACCTGCAGTCTGAAAACGGACCCAGCCTCTCCGAAAAAAAAAGCTTCTGGAGGACAAAAGGCCCAGAATCACTTGTTGCAGGTAAGTCATAGGATTTTGAGACCAATGTTTCCTCTGGGTGTGTGAAGTGTGAGGGCATCCTTCTTACTGGAAACCTACCCCATCCAGACACATCCAATGGGCTCCAATGGGTTGTCCTGAACCACCCCACAACCTCTCTGGGCAAGTTCTGCTGGATATTAGGGTCTAACTACTAGCAAATTCTGCAACCACGATCTTTTTCTCCAGTCTTTTTCGTCCTTTTCTCCAGTCTCTTCCGAACTTTGGCCACACTTTGGAGGTAGTGTGCGGTCATTCCGCCTCATCTCCCACCTCCCTGGCTGTCAGGAGGGGAGACGCGTGTGGTGCGCCCTCTCGACCTTTGCGATCTCAAAAGCTGTATATAACGGAGAAGTGCAACCAAAATTCATTATCACAAGTGCCAGTGCCGCCTGTGTCCGGAAGCTGGCTGTGAGCAATGTCCTGCAACCTCAGAGCTCCATGACCGTGGCACGCATGCTGTTCACGTCTTGGGAATTTGCTGCTTCGGACTGTCTACCTCTGGAAGTAGATCTGCATGTGTATACATATATATATATGCATATAAAAGTGCTGCCGGATGTCTAGGTTTCAGTTGAGCTGTGTCTCATTCTTGCCAAATGGTTTCACTCATGCTGCGTTCGGCTTCTTGCTCCCAGGCTCCAGGCTCACAACTGGTATATGATGGTGTAAGTGTGGTCAGTGTAGTCTTCAAACGCACCGCCCTTGCGGCATCACTGCCAGCATTCTGATCCTGGAGCAATACAATGCTCACCTCCAGTGCCAAAATACTGTGGATAAATATTCTCACAGAAATGGATCAAAGTGTCTCCTGTGCTTCAGTATCCCCTCGTGAAGGTGAACTTGGTGGGGATGCCATGCGCAAAAGCCAGGGACTCAAATATTTCTGGTCCCACCGCACAATCCTCGGAGCGAGCCCCAAAAAGAAAAAAAACGCCAGCAAACATCAGGAACTTCCTGGAAACAAATTGACAGCAACTTGTCTCATATCTCGCTTCCGAGCAGCGTCAGGCGCTTGACTGCCTGTACCAAGCAAGCGGCTCACAACAAACTGTTCTTCTGCCACTACCTACCAAACAACAATCTTTGTGCAAGCATGGAGTGCAAAATCCAGAGCAAAGCGCCGCTGCAAAGATTACATATATATATATATATGTACAATAGTTATATATATATATTAGCTTATATACCTCGAACTTCCTCAGAGTGCTATTTTTAGATCCGCGGCGTGAAACACATCTTGTGGAGTCACAACCTTATATTTGAGTCTGCGAATGTTTCTCTCGTTTTCCGAGTTTTTTGGATATTCCATGGGCGTTTGTTTATACACAATCTAAGGGTGTTTGTTGGTGGGCCACAAGTGTTTGTTCCCAAACCTTTTTCTTAAGCGCATGATGATTTTGGTTGCGGATGTTTATGTGGTTCACAGACCTAAGAAAAGTTATGTTGAAGTACCGCCCCCCCCAAAAAAAAGGAAAAATACAACCACGAGGTTGCAGGTATAAATTGGTTGTATGAAGGTGATCCTTGCTGGACAGATTTGCCATCAAATGTCTCGGTCATACGTCAGCTTTGCGCTCTCTACCCTCAATGTTCTAAACACAGGGGACATGCGGGCGCAGAACTGAGCAACAAAAAGGCACTAGGGAGCTGCACATTGCGACAAGCAAGGCGAGACAATCCAGCCGAGGTCAAGATCCTGGCGCTGCTGTACCTTGCTTCTCGGGGAACCATTCAATGCCTTTCTTTGGTGAATGAGGGATCTGCTTCAAAGCATGTTCTTTTTTTGTGTGTGGTGGACCCACATGTTCAAAGCTTCAATCCGCGAGGGTCCAAAGTGGGGTTTCCAGCCTAGCCAGAGCAAGGATTGTGGAAGCTAGAAGTTCAATGCAACAAGAGTCAAACGTCTGACGTCTCATCTTTGCAAACACCACCGAGACCTGGCAACAAGCTTACGTTCGCTAAGAATCTAGAAGTCATCTCGATTATGGAAAGGGTTCCCTGCACCCTGCCAAATATTTACTGCTATATAGCTGCAGCTTCTTCTTACTGCTTGGCTACTGAATCCGCTCAGCTGCATATCTTTTTTAAAACATAAGCACCGTTGACTTTCACAACTTTCGGAATTTGCAAAAGGCAAAAGGCCCTGCTCCTGGACTGGTTGAGCGTTTGCTGTGAAACCCGAAACTGACCAACAGCCTCCTGTTTCCTCACCAAACCAACGCACACAGGGTTAGCCTCTTTCAGCCCATTTTAAACCGATTGTCCGGAATTTGCATGGACCCCACAAACACTGGGAAAGGAAACACGGATCCAGCACAGGATCATGGAAGAAACAAAGACACAGGAGGACACATCGCATTCGGAGTCCTTGTATGCGTGCAAGGTAAACAAATCAAAAAATGTAAATAGGTTCAAACAGGTTCAAACGAGAGGACATCACAAACAGGAGGAGCGGCCAAATGGTGACAGTCCTCAAAGTAAGTAAGTGGCATCTGGGGTTCCATTTGTAACCTGGACGCTAGTCCCTGAAACTTGAATAAGTTCCTAGCAGCGACTCAAAAAATAGAACAAGTATAAAGATTATAGTACCGTGCTGTATTTTGGAAGAAATGATCTGCACCAACAAGTTCCCGATCTTCCATTTGATGTGGGGCCGGAAAATGGCCCGAGGCCAGATGAAATGGAAGAAATACCCGGAGCCATATCCATGTTCCGATTTCTTCCATTTGAATGGTTGCAGGTGGTTTTCCTGTCAAAAAAAGAAAAGGAGAGAGAAGGAAGAAGGAAAAAGGAAGAGCAAGCGGGGAAGAGGAGGAGAAGGAAAAGGAAGAGGACAAGGAACAGGAAGAGAAGAGGAAGGAGAAAAGGAAAAGGAAGAGGAAGAGCAAAAAGAACAGGAAGTGGAAAAGGAAAAGGAAGAGGGAGGGGAAGAAGACAAGGAAGAGGAAAAGGAAAAGGAAGAGAGGAAGGAAGAGGAAGAGGACAAGGAACAAGAAAAGGAAGAGAAGAGGAAGAGGAAAAGGAAGAGGAAGGGAAAAGGAAAACACAAAGGAAGAGGAAGAGCAAAAGGAAGAGGAAGGGGAAAAAGAAAAGGAAGAGGAAGGGGAAGAAGAAAAAGAAGAGGAAGGGGAAGAAGAAAAAGAAAAGAAAGAGGAAAAAGACGAGGATGCGGGGAAGAGGAAGACAAGGAACAGGAAAAGGATTTACTGATCAGAGGTGAAGATTAGAAACCAAATGGAAGAAATACGACCAGGAAGCAAAAAAAATGAAAAACAAACCAACAACCAATAAAGGTTTCGGAGAGTATTAGGTTATTCTCCTCTTCAGATCAGGCGACGTGCGCGCGTGGAAAAAACAGTCTCTCACTGCCATTTCTCTCAGTTTTTCTAATGACAGAGCAAGCCTTTAGTACAAATGGAAGAATTGAACACCTACTTTATGCTACAGGGCATTTCTTCCATTTGCTGTTGCCTGGATTTTCCTCGAAAAATTGATCTTCCATTCAATAAATTGTCTTAATATCTTCCAAAATACAGCACGGTACTATAATTATTGAATATAAATAACAGTTGATATGGTTTAGTCCTGCTTAACCACTCTTTTTCAACATGTAGAAGGTTGTGGAAGCTTTCCATCTGCATCGCCCACCGGCTCCAAAGTGAGCGCCAGCTGCTTGAGCTGTTCAGGCTCACAACGGCGGATGCGCAGCCAGGAGAGCATGGGTGCAGTAGCACCACCCAAGAACCACACAGAAATCAACACCTCAAGTATCCAAGCATCTCACAACCAAAAATGGGCCATGCAACAAGAAAAAACTGGACGAATCGTAAGTAGTAGGAATGCTAATCCAGGTGAAAAGGCAAGTGGTGCAACGTAAACAACATACTTTTGGTGTACCTGTCTTGGACAAAGGTGCAACCCACATCGCCAAAGCCATTGTGCTGTGTCGGTGCGGCCCTTTGAATTGAGTGGACAGCGCGAATGCAATCGCGCCACGGAGCCCAGCGAACCAGACCTAAAACGCAGTGGATTCAGGCCAATTCAGGCCCACAAAAGGAAGGTAAAGGCCGGTAGTAAGGGCCCCTTTTGTAAAGGTATGCCAGGGCCCACTTTGAGAACGGCCTTATATGACCTTCTTTGTTCCTCTTCTATCTTTATGCAGTTTCCATACGGAACTTAACTGTATCCAATCTCCGCCCTCTCATTTACCTCGCATTTCCGTAGCCAACGCAATCGTTTTCACGAGCGGAACCCCATCTATAACTAATATAACATCACTACCCCTTCCTGAGGGGGGACGTCGAAAATTGTAAGTTACATTTTCCTATGCGGAGGGCCTCAAAACATGTAATTATATTAGTATAATTTGTAATATATAACTTGGAGGTGGCCTCAAAAAACTAACTTACAACTTGGAGGCCTCATGGGTGATTTCCTGGGAAATGATCTCAAAAATGCAATTTACGTTTTTGAGGCACGGTGGGGCCCTTACATTTTTTGACCCCCCCTGAGTCTGTGTTTGTCTGATTTTGTCTTGCTGTCTCAGGATGCAGGCAAAAGGTGAGATTTGCAGACGTCAAAAATTGTACAGTAACTTATAATCAGCCCACGCATCCAAACCCTCAGATGTTTGCAGGGAATTCCTGGGTTATGTGGGAAAGTTTGACCTCGCAAATTGTAACTTACACTTTTGCCACATGCCGAACCCCCCCAGAATTTACAAGGAACTGGGGTGTCCCCCTGAGCTAATTACATTTTAGCATTCTGAAAATCACACGCAAGCGACTCCACGAAGCGCAAGCAGGGGGCAAGCAACCAGGGGATCAAACAGCATTGAATATCCTTGTTCTCCTGCGCAATAGAACAGGCAGCTGTGCGAGATTAGAATGACCTCTCCTTTGTTGTGTAGCATGTGGATGATCCTCTGTTATGTTTGGGTTTCGCTTTGATGCCTTCCCTTGGGGTCTTTTGAGTGGGAACATGTACCTGTTTCTTGGCAGTTTGCTCTGGGTGTGTTTCCTGTTCTTCTTTGTTGATGATGACTCAGACCAACCGCTGTTCCCTCATCTTTGCTTTCTAGCAAGGGACAAGCAGCCAGGACAACAACATACCAGCGATTATGCTCTTCTATGTGTGGGCTTTGTTTTGGCATCCTTCCTTTTGGGTCTTGCTTTGTGTGTGTTGCTGTTCTTCTTTGTTGATGATGACTCTGACTAACTGCTGCTCCATCATGTTTGCTTTCTGCAGCAGCAAGCCACACAAAAACAATTGCAGTAAAGGCACACCCACAAAAAACCAACGGGAAAAAAAACACACCCCCACACACTTAGATAAAGTCTCGCAAGACTGCTCTCACTTGACGAAGTCCCACTTTGCTGCAGGTAGACCTTTACACGCGATAAAACCTTGACTTGAATCAACTGCAGGAAATGCTGGGTCGGCTAAACAGAAGGATTACAGTAACAAAAGTGCACTAGCCGCTACCCCTGTAAAGGATGTTAAAAATTGCAGGTACGTGGAAACGGCGTCCCATTTCCATATCCTCGGATACATCGCCAGCTTCGTTGACCAGGCGACGATGTATCCTGCCTGTTCCCCTGCACTGTACAACTGTGGAGTGAATTCAGCAAGTTCCTGAGTGTGTGATCTAATTCCTTGGAGACAGGATTTGACACACACAAAAAGCTGTCAATCGGCGCACTCTGAGGGGTTGGTGGAGGGAGGGTGTGGAGAAGAAGGAGTGTGCTGGGTATGGCTGGGGGACAACTTGCTGTGGAGGTGGTGTGGTGGGGTATTGAGTGGGCACTGACGGTGGTACTGCAGGCACTGGACCATAAGTCGTGAAGGGGGCGGCTGAAGAATGCCACGGGTAGTGCATGGCGTCGAGCTCGATGGTGGAGCAAAGTCGAAGCAAGTGAGTGTGTCGAGCAATGAATGCTCTTTAAAAATTTGACTCAGGCCTGTTGACTACTTAGCCGAAAACCTGCCCTATGAATACATAGCCGCATGTCATGTCATTCTTTGGAAGAGGTTTCAGCGAACTCTGCGGCGTATGATCAGCAATCTTGAGCAGAACACTGAAGCCAAAGAAGTCCACGAGCAGGCCGAGAAACCAGTGGAGGTTCACCCGCCAGGGTATGTGCATATGCTGCGCCCCTCGCTGGGGATCACACCACACCCACATGGTGTGGCGAGACACGCTTAGATAAAGGCTCGCAAGACAAGTATCAGTTGACGAAGTCCCACTTTACTGCAGGTAGACCTTTACACGCGATTAGACCTTGACTTGAATCAACTGCAGGAAATGCTGGGTCGGCTAAACAGAAGGATTAACAAAAGTGCACTAGCCCTTTAAAGGATGTTAAAAATTGCAGGTACGTGGAAATGGCGTCCCATTTCCATATCCTCGGATACATCGCCAGCTTCGTTGACCAGGCGACGATGTATCCTGCCTGGTCCCCTGCACTGTACAACTCTGGAGTGAATTCAGCAAGTTCCTGAGTGTGTGATCTAGTTCCTTGGAGGCAGGACTTGACACACACACACACTGTGATTGTCACATATTCTTACATATTGAAAAAACATGCGTCCCAAAGGTGCATTCACAACATGTTGCAAAAGCATGCAATGCCTCTGACATGATGTTTCCACAAGTGCCCAAAACAGAAAATCATAACACCATTTAAAACATAACATAATTTCCAGACCCCCCCAGCCCTTCGATCTGCCGACGCACCCTAGGAGGGGGTGGTATAATGTAAGTAAGCACGTGTCAGGCCACAAGTTACATTATTTTTGGACCCCCCCCCTTATCGGTTTCGATGGTGCCGGGCGGGGGGAATTATTTTTAGACCCCCTAGGGGCCACCCTAAAATGTAACTTATTCCCTAAACAGTTTACTGTTAGGGGTTCTCAATTCTTTCCTAAAATGTGTCCGCCCTTTGTGTCACTGCTGGTGTCCGCTGGCCGTGTAGCATTTCTATTCATTTGTCTCCCAGGTCTGTCAGTGCTGGCGTTCGCCCTTTTCCGCTGGCCACGCAACATTTCTATTCATGTCTCCCAGGCCTGTCACTGGTGGTGTCCGCCCTTTTCCGCTGGCGATGCAACATTTCGATTCATTCCCGAAACAGTTTACCGTTAGGGGTTCTCAATTCTTCTTTATGTGTCCGCCCTTTCTGTCACTGCTGGCCCTTTTCCGCTGGCCATGCAGCATTTCCTTGTCTCCCTTCTCTCTCCCTTTGTCTCCGGTCTTGTCTCCCTTCTTGTTGGTCACTGTATCTGCCTTGTCTCCCTTCTGCTTCCTTTTGTCTCCCTTCTTGTTTCCCTTCTTGTTGGTCACTGTGTCCGCCTTGTCTCCCTTCTGTCTCCCTTTGTCTCCGGTCTTGT